AATGCGCAACTCATAAGGAATTAGGATACGCAGAAGTGTGACAGGGCCCTATATGGCTTAGCTTTGTGCACATTCATGATAAATAAGTCGTACGTGCGTACTTCGCGCGCAAACCAGTACATTACGCACATGCGGTGTCCATAGACATATGGCGGTGTCCCGTCAAAAGTGGTAAAACGCGCCCTTTTTGGGTGGCCGCTCACGGAGCCCATACTCCTTCCAGGTGTTGTTTTGGGCATCTTATAAATATTTGTAGCAATGAATGTATGCAATTCCGGTGAATACCCCTTTACCCAATTGGGACACATTTTAAACTGCAGTTAGGTCTACATAATTATACGATCACGGTATTGTGTAAAGAATTTTAGCAAGTTGACTTTCAGTAGTGTTTCTTAAACTTGCACTATGAATTTGTATTCACCCTCAGCTTATTTTGCTGTACATATGAAGCCCGGGAAGGGACAGGGTGGATTTTTTTTTTGGAATTTCCTAATTCGTTCGCACGAATTACTAATTCGTTCGCACGAATTGCTAATTCGTTCGCACGAATTCCTAATTCGTTCGCACGAATTAGTAATTCGTTCGCACGGATTGCTATTTCGTTCGCACGAATTCCTATTTCGTTCGCACGAATTCCTAATTCGTTCGCACAAATTACTAATTCGTGGGAACGAATTAGTAATTCGTGCGAACGAATTGGTAATTCGTGCGAACGAATTACTGGAGTTTGCTAATTCGTTCCCACGAATTACTAATTCGTGCGTACGAATTACTAATTCGTTCCCACGAATTAGTAATTCGTGCGCACGAATTAGTAATTCGTGCGACTGACGAATTAGCAAACTCCAAAAAAAATTTCACCCTGTCCCTTCCCGGGCTTCATATGTACATGATCTTTGCGTATCTTTTTTAAATCTTGAAAACTGCTGCCGATACTTGAGATTTCAAATTTCGGTTACCGGATTTCGTAATCTGTCGGATTCCAAATTTAAAAACGATAACACCAACGCTCTCAGCAACAGCGCCCCCATAGTTAAAAAGAACACACGTTAAATCTAGACACAATTGAAATTAACATCATCAGTTCTGTTTGGCGCCCTCAATTTTGGGCATCATTTTTTATGTTATTAAAACCTTAAAACTGGTGGAAGATATCACATATAACATAGCAAAAATATTTTAGCGAAATATCCTGAACATAACAACACCAGTTTAGAATAAAAGAAATCCAATAAAACAAACAAAATACACCAACAACATTGAAAATATGTTTCTTCGACACTACCGTCTATCTATAAATTTGCACTGGAATCCCACAAACCACTTGCTCTCGATTTAATAATAATAATATATAATAAAACCATTCTTATAAAGCGCATTTTACACGGGGTCCCAATGCGCTGAAACATACGACATACGTCAATTAAACAAATATTCTTACACAGATGATAAAGACATGGCTGGCTGGTCTTAAACACTTTTCCAGTGTCACATGAAATTTGAACTCCTACAAACTCCGGTGCATTTTACCGTTTTATTGGTTTGTCGGGGACAATCCTCACGTAGGCGTGCCCAAAACTACCAGTGAGGCAGTATTTCATACTCAGAAATTACACTTCACCGGCACAGCTGCATTCTGCGCCAATCTCCATATAAGGTGTAACGTTGTTTACGACAGGGACATACCACAATATAGCTACTGGGGTGTTATGAAAAACATGAAGTTAAGTGATTGAACAAAATCGTTGGAAATTTATAATTTTGACTTTCACTTTTGGACCGAAAAGGTTTAGATCTTTTTTTTTTTTTGTTACCGAAAAGGTATTTATAAATGGGAATAAATATGTGCTTGGCCGGTATTAAACACTTTGTATAAAATCAGTTGGAATCTAGATGCTGATAATTACCCTTGCCTTCGGCTTGAGTAGTTATCAGCATCCAGACTCCAACCGGTCTTAAATAGAGTGTTTAAAACCGGCCAAGCACAAACTTATTCCTTTAATAACACTCCTCTTGTTTCTTTTCATGGCTTGATGAACGACAACAAAAAATGCTGACAAAAAAATTGGGAATTTGCATTTTTTTTTAAAAAAAAGTAAATATAACTCCTTTAAATCTGTGTACAAAAAATATATAGAAAAGGACAAAAAATAACGTGTACACAAATACACTGTGTAACATAATTGGACACTTCGCCCTTAAGTATAGATGCACGTAGGAAGATTCGCAGTTACCTGGAAGCGTACGATACGATTTAACGAAGAAAATACTCGCTCAAAGTGACGATGGGACTGAGAACAGGTACCCTGTGAAATTATTCCACCTGATATGGTGTCATTCGAAAGAAAACAATGATTGAAGGTGGCTTGAGACAGTGCGCCTAGCTAGGGCACAGATCTCTGTTGCATGCGTTAATAGCAACGGAATCCAGTAACGAGACCTCACAAAGTGTGCTTGCGTTGTCTCTGTTTTCTCAAAATGTAAAGTATCCGATGAGCTGAAACTTCAACAAGTTAGTTGTTGTGCATGACACTTCTTATGTCGAGCAACTGTGTTGCTTCAAAGGAAGAGAAAAAACTACACAAAAAGCAAATGATCATAATGTACCTGCAGTAAGTGCAGTGCACCAGCTAAATTGTGCCACTCATTTTAGGTGATAAAGTGTTGTTATACCGAATACTGAATTTCGTTCTTTTTGCTTTACTTGGCTTAATGCATTGCTATTTCTAATCCTTCCCAGTACTGGAATCTTTCCGAAATACATCTTTGACACAATAGCATCTCATCTCATCAGTGTTCAATTAAATGTTACTATATCAAACCAAAGTGTTTGTATTTAAAGCATTTGAAAAAAATATATATAATGAAGATATTTATAAACGTAAAAGCATATTATGTTGACGCCACAAAACGTGCCGGAAAGCGGTTACATGTTCGATACCCTCGATGGATACATTTGTGCAGTCTTTTGTGCCTTTTGTCAATAATACACAATGTATCTGAAGCACTAAGAAAATAGAGGTTATAAAAATACAACCGTAAAGTAACCGTTTTATTTCTAGTAAAGTAACCATTTTCTCTAGTAAAGAACCGTTTTATTTCAAATCATTGAGTTCTGTAAAACAAGTTTATGTGAAGGCAAAATGGCACCCTCTTTTTAAACTCGAGGTTGTTATTGTATTTTGTTAAAGGCATTATAGGATCGTTTGATCGTTTCAAATAACACCACTCAAAATACTAGAAGAATGTTAAAAACCTAAACTATAAGTTTCTACTCAGTGGATACACTTTTCAAGAGAACATTGAAAAAAAATGCACCACCTTTCATCACAAGACACGAGTTCGTCGACAGCACTTTTTTATAAAAAAAAAACAAACAAAACAAACAAACAAACAAACACCCCCAATAAACAAACAAACAAGCTAACAAACAAACAAACAAACAAACAAACAAACAAACAAACAATCACGTGGCTGATCGTTGGAAATCCCGATTTCTTCTTAAGGACAGCAAGCCAGACGGAATAATTTCACGGAGTGTTTATGGTACGATTTTCAATCCAACTAAGATTTTTGATGATAATTCGGTAGGTTACTTTTTGGATAATGCATGTGATCCTATATGCCTTTATTAAAATTCCAGCTAATTCTTAAATAAAAACAAATATATAAAAAAGAAAGAGTCTTACGGCGCTCCTGCAAATCCGTTACTTTAAGTACTATAAGAACAAGTTTTGTGAAATATATTGTTTGGAAATAACAAAATGTTTTATGGAAACATAATATATATCAAAACCTTAAGCTTTATCTTTCAGAGCGGTGCTTGTTACAGATACAATTAAGAAGCATAAAACAACGCAGCTTTTATGCATGCGTGAAACTTGATAAAGGGACCGTAAAAAGCTTGAAAAATATAAAGAAAAATTAGGGAAAAAAAGAACCCTGCTTCTTGACATGTCGATTTTTCGACAGAATAAGTAACTGTTCCATTACAAAACGTGGGCTGATTATGTTCGTTTGATGTTTCATTCAAAAGTGAATAACTTTTTGTATTGCTTGAAAAATAGCAATTTAACAATTATTTCTTTCTGTGTGGACAGTAGCGTCCTAAACTTCCAGCCTATAAAGATCTTGTACCTCGATTTTTGAACAAAGACGGTGTCGCATGAGTAATGCGCCCTCTACTAAATGTGTTGAATAGTACAGGCATTACATTCACTGTGTGGACTTCCGAACAAAAGATGTCCACATAAACCAGGTAGAGCTGTGTGGACCTGGGCAAGTCCACACAGTGTTTCCCCATTTCCGGAAAACAGGTTGAGAGGCATTTTTGGGTTAGGTTTATCGGTAGCAGAATGAAGAGAAACACTAAAGGGAATCATAGAAAAAAAAATTGGGTTGAAAGAGTTTTCACAGTTTAAGAAAAATGAGTTTTTTCACTGGTTTTTCTTAACTACACGAAAGCAATGGGAAGTCCACACTTGGTATGTAACGTAAACTTGGGTGGGTTCTTGTGTGTAAGATGATGTAGGCCTAATGTGATCCTGTTGTTGAGAACCAGACGTTTTTGCGTTTGCGTGACCTTGTTGTAGTCTGAGTATCTCACGTTATCCACGGAGCCAAGTCTCCTGTATAACGTCTGATATGTCAAAGCATGCAGATTTATGCGATCTCATGCCTCAGCCAATCGGAGTCGACTTTACTAAATCGTGACCTCATTTCATTCCCAAATCAGGACTAAAACTGTGATTGGTCAATTCGAATGTAGTGTTTTGTAATACAATAACAGCCCGGCGCATGTCGCGTAAGATAATACAGAGCGCGTGACCACACACTTTGTCGCTGTGTCTAGGGTGTTTTTCCATGTCTAATAACGCGACAACGGCGAATGATCTAAAACCCGATATAGAAAGCGCCCGCTGATTGGTCAAAATCTGGAGGTCAAAATGCGGTTGTCTTGCAAAATTAATCAGCAAATCTGCTCAAATGTTATAGACCATGGCTTTCGCCATGGTCTATTAACCTTGTTGAGGGCCCTTTCTGAATGTGAAATCATCCGTATATAGGCCTCTGTTTGTGTCGGTCTCTGAATAATATATATACTTACAACTAGCTACTGCATATTTTAGGCCTGGTGGTACCGTGTATTTTGTAAACTGATATTGCGTATGTAGTACATGAAATTACAAGGTACATACTATGTACCTTGTAATAGCAATCATTATGCTCACTTCATATACACACAAAACCATACAGATAAACCTAAGCAATAAAAAGAGTTTAATACCGAAGATTATGATATCCTCCTGTCCACAGTTATTCACACATGGAATATTTAGTAAAAGGTATGTTGTGGTTTGCGGTTGTTGTGGTTGTTGTGCTTCGCAATGGTATGGTTGTGGTCATTGCAGCGTCAGTGGTTCGTGGTGGGTGTGGTGGCTTGCAGTGGTTATGGTTGTCGTCGTAGTAGTTGACTGCTTGTGGCCATCGTTGTTCTTTCTGTTGTTTTTGTCGTCGTCATTGTCGATGTCGTTGTGTTGTTGTCATTGGTTGTCGGTTTTGAGGTTTTTTGGGTTTAGTAATTAAAGTAAGGCAATACAAATGCATGCTGTATTTGTAATAATTTTAAAGGAGTAGGCCTAGGAAATGTTTTGACCTAAGATTTTAATAACCCAAATTGTCCTGACAGAAACAAATATCGAGGGTTTTTTTACACTGTGTCTCCCGTTCTTGGCTGTACCGGTGCACCTGGTTACTTGCCGAAGCGCGCCCCGCAGTGAGAGCAGACCCTCTCGGTACTCCAAGAGCAGAAGATCAGCCCGAGCGGGAGCAAGAGAATGGCAAGTAAGATGGCGAGTGGTGAGCACCTGCACCGCCTCCTCACGTTGCCGATGTGGCAGACGGGACAGTCACCCTCGATCTGGGAAGTGGTCTGGGCTGGCACAGTGACTTGGACCATGGGAGGCTGCTGCATCGGCTGCGGCTGGGGCTGAGGAGCTGATGAGGAAAAGGAGAAATATATAAGAAAAGTATACAGCCTAAAGAAGGGTTCGGGTGGGCCACTATGGGGAAAGCGTCCAAAATCATGGCGATAATACTGCTTTGCAGCTTTCTGTTCTACAAAAGAAAATCAGTGGAGAACTTGTCATACCTAATAAAATAAACAAATAGGGACCATTAGGATGAATTATGGTACGCATAGGGGATACGTATGCGCTTGGAAAAAGTGGCCGATTTTATCACCATTCTGCGTGATTATCACCATTCTGGGTTTCTTATACCCATTTCAGAATACTGTGAAGTGGAAACGTCCGAGTCGGTGAGGTTCTTCTGTACCGTCGAAATATGTGAAATATATCCGTGCAAAGTTCGTGTGGCTATTAAGTTTTCGTCACCGCGGAATAACGTCCTTTTATACGCAGTGAACATGGATGGTCAATGCACTTATGCAGTACGCCTACGAAACCACTGAGTAAAATCAGTTTATATGCCTTGTTTATCGGAAGCGATTAAAGAAGTTGTCAGTTTAGAACGCTTAAAAGTTGTTTCTCTTATCATAATTCTACATGTATATGTTCCGTCTTGTATATCACGAGATAGGCCTATATACGTTCATTACATTTTCGGGCAACTTGGTTTCTGAATCAAAATCTCACCCCCAAACTGCCCAAAAAAGTGAAGTACTCGCACTGGCACCCCGCGCGCTGATTTTAGACTGGCACTGTGTGCATGTACATGTCCATGTCCATGTCCATGCACATGTTCCTGTACATAATTATGTGCAAGTACATATCATACTGATGTGCATGCACAAATTGACTTCATACAGTTGGTTATTTTTTTTTTAGATGAATACATACTGTATATTTAAGAGAAAAACTCTTTTTATGTTGTGAAAACCAAATGTTCGACAATCTTAACATTATGGTGAAGATTAGCTGGCAAAAGTCTTTGCTCGTGCATTTTGGCTATATAAAGGTACTGTAAATTGACCACAAAAGGTAAATAACTACATATAAATTGATGAGTGATTTGGTAATAGTTGAAGTAATTCACACACCGAACCAAGTCCAACTGTTTGTCGATGTCATAGTTATTCTTGTAATTAAACAAGAACGTTTTAAGCCAGCCAACATCTCTTTTGATTATTAGAAATATCTTTTAATTATTAGAATAACAAAACAAAAACGTTTTTGGGACATTTTTAACTTTTGTGAATATTGTAAGAAGGGTTTGAACTTATTTCAAGGGAAAAGATTATCATGTACATGTAGGTATGTTTCGTCGATCATGGATAACTTTCTCTTCAAACACCAAGCATTGTGACGAACTTGAATACAGCCTAACATAGCATGTCAAAGGCTATACAAGATGTAATATATCACGAGGATTAGCATGTGCATGCACATGCGAATGGAAAACCAATTTGAAAATTTGGATGGGCTGAACAGTCAAATACAATGCGTACAACACAATTAAATATGTCGATTTTAAATGTCTTCTTTTTAAATGTTAAAAACCGAAACAGTAGTGATTCACACAAACGCTTATTGTGTTTAAAAACTGTACAGGCTGTTAAGACGTAAGTGCAACCATAGGTTAAATACCTAAACACAATTTAAACGCCATTTAGACACTTTTTAGTTTTGTTAAACAAAACCGCTTGGACGCGTTTATAACATTGATGTTTAAGTACTAAACACTTCCTTTAAATCACAGTAACATATTTTGTTTATAAACAAAATATTATGCCATGGTGATTTAAAGGAAGTGTTTAGTACTTAAACATCAATGTTATTATAAACGCGTACAGGTGTCTATAGAGTGCTACAGGCTGTAAACACGTCAATGTTTATGATATAAACACATTGACGTGTTTAAAAGTACACTGTGTTTAGAAAGTAAACAGTAAATTAAACATATTGAAATGTTATGTAAACACACATATACACGGTATGGCACTATGTTCCATTTGCTGCTCGTTCAGAAATTGGAAAGAGAGGCTCTGGTCTTGAAATTAGCATATTTGTTTTTTAGAAAGACGACTGAGTAGTAAAACAAAACGAGAATTTTAAGGTTCAGCAATGGAGGTCTGATGGAGTGGATATGACAACTGAATTCTGCTGATCAAAGACTCGTATTTTCAACCCATTTTGAGAAATAGCGCATTGAAGTAAAATATAACGTATTGCCTCCTTTCACAAATAAAGACAATTTTGTTACCATTTTTACAAATACGAATGTATTTCTAAATTACAAAACAGACACTGATAGCATTTTCTTGCATACGGGACACCAGTTGCATAAAAAAAACTGTGTTTGCCCTTTGCCGATTAAGGGAACAAAAAAGTCTGTGGTAGATTATCAAAAAAGCTAACCTCGATCTAAGTTTAAGCTCAGTAGATTAGATCATACTTGTTGTGAAACCGTGTAAGTGCATCCTCGTTTTGCTCAACGCAAAGCGTAGATTTCTGATTAAACAGCGCGATGATTTAGTCCTAAATAGGACCCCAAAAAAAGAGCATCGCGACAAAAAATAATGGTAATACCTCTTTTCTCGGAAACGACACCACTCGTTGCATGATCCTATTATTTACTTACAATCAAACAAAGAATTTTATGATATTTTGACGGATTCATTTTGGACTATTGCAAATTGTGCTCATCACCTTCATAGAAGTGCCGAAATTTTACAGGGCTTGATTTTGTTAGAGATTTTTAAAGAATAATCAGTACACGCGGTGCAGTGGCCGCCAATTTATTTTCAGGATCATGCCGCAGAGAGTTCTGTTGCTGCGGAAAAAGGTCACAGGCATGTCTGCCGTGTATAACTACTCGTACATGTATCGGAATGGGATATGGATAGGAGTCAACCACGGTTTCAAATATAATGACCTAAATTCATCATCATGCGAGTTTTGTGTAAAGAAAACTTATAAATTGTAGGCCTATGAAATAAAATGCTTGGTTTCGGTAAATTGTATTATTGTTTATTATGAACACAATGCTTTTCACAAGCAAGAAACAGAACTTCCAGTGACTGTTTTGTGCAGTAAAGTACAGTTATGCACATGACAAGAATAGCAAGTGGGGCATGCAGTAGACCATCACCTCTTATTGTTACAGCTACAAAATACTCACGATATCCGTCTTGGTAAGATTGGTACCCAGGCGGGTGGGCCAGCTGCTTCGTGTGGTCGTTGGCTGGTGGAGACTCCATTTCATCATAAAACGGTCGTGCAGTGTAGGTCGACATTTTCACAAGTACTCTGCCGGTATTTGAGGTGGACGTGTAGCGAGATCGCTCTTTTCACACTTCCGCCTTGGGCATGCAGAGCCTCGATCTGGCAACTTTACACAATAAATATAGCCGGTTCACCCGTACCAGGTACCTCTTTCTCTTTCAGGGCGGTGCGTTTCTGTTTCACATAATTATGCGAGATAATTATGTCGCGGCGCGAGTTAGTATGTCGCAGCCGCGAGTTAGTATGTCGCGGCCGCGAGATAATTATGTCGCGGCCGCGAGTTACATATTATGAAAGCGAGACTATAGCTGTCGTGAAAGAGAAACGCATTACGCACCGCCGTTAAAGAGAAAGAGGTACCTGGCCCTAACGGGCTTCAGTAGCACGCAGGACCAGAGACATGTACCTTCATGCACGACGAGTAGAGTAGGCTATTATAATGTCAGTGTATTCCACTTACGCCATCCATGATACAAAGTTTTCACAAAAGTGAGGTCATGCAGTGGCGTAGCGCGGTCATTTTTATTGGGGGGGGGGGTGAAATCTTTTTGAAAAGGGCACTTGCACATCCGTGGTGAAATGTAGGCACGTTTTTTCCCCCTTGCACTTGACCTCCGTAAAATCAAATGATGGGGGGAGGGGAGGGGGGCGTACCATCTGTCGATGGGAGCACTGTTCAAAACCGACGATTATGCACACTAACGGACAATATATGGTGCTTCTAACGGAGATACATGCGCGAATTTAACAAAAAAGGCACCCGCAATGGCCGATGGTACCAGAAAGGCAACCACATACTTTTAAAAGGGCACTTGTTCAGAAAAAAAGACATTTTTTTAAAAAGGGCACTCTTTACAAAATATTGGGGGGGGGGGGGGTAAGCGCTCGTGAAAGGGCATTTGAATAGAAAAGGGCAGTCTTTACAAAATATGTGGGGGGGTGTTAAAATACCCCCCTCGGACAATGCGCAAATTCTCGGAGCATGCGCAAAAGCATGCAGTCCTCATTGTTTGGGCAGCCCCCCTAGCTCAGGCAGTACCGCCAGCTGCATGTGCTTGTACTATGTACAGCACATGGTATGTACATGTACATCATCCACACTGCCCACATGCCATGACGATTCCAAAACCAGCCTTTGTTTACACAAACATGAAGCTATAAAAACCAATCGGCGCAGTACTGGGTGCAGTTTCATCGTGATTCTCGAATAACTAGCCCACCGAGTGTTGTAAACAAGATAAGCAGATCTCAAGGGAATGTAGTCATTTGCAGTTGTTGTAATTATCATAAAACGGTATATTCAGGGGGTAGCATGTAATACGACAGCGTTGGCTTTGATAAGTGACACACGAGGGCTTGTGAGAGAAGGATAATTTTTGGCAAAAGCTGTTTTCTTTTGAAAACTTGACGGATTAATATTATTCAATGCAAGGATCGATTGAAGTAAAGACTTCTTCTCAAGTTAAACTCTTAGTCATTTTGTAGTACAAAAGGGCAAAACTAACCTACTTTTGAGAGCATTCCGTTGATTCTCATATTAGTTCTTTTGAGACTCAGAATAATGTTTTGTAATCTGATTCATGCCCATTGTATTGCAACTTAAAAAGGTATTCATAAATACATAAAGACACTGTCTATTCCTATTGGTCCAGAGCCCGTCACGTGGCCGGTCTTAAACGGTTTATAAAACACCAGATGGCGGGTCTTCAACACTTTTCCAGTAAGTCTGGACTCCTATGAAATCCGGTGCCTTTCACCGTTTGAATGGCTGAACGTTCACAATCCTTGGTTAGGCATGTGCAATACTACCAATGAGTCTGTATTTTTATAGACCTAAATTCACACTACACCGGCATAATTATAAGTTGCTTACGGTTGCAGACCAGTAAATCGGTCCGAAATTGCCTACGCCGGCCAAATCACGATTTGCATGCCCTCGAAATCTTCAGTATTTGAGCATACTGTGGGCCATGAACTGGAGGGTTTGTCAAAAATATGGGTGGAAGCCGTGCACAGGACTGTGAGCTTGTAGTTCCGTTCAATTTGGATGAAATTGGGGCCCTAAAAGCGCTTTATTTTGCAATGGAGTGTAGGCATCGTTTTTCAGAATGGCGATGGCTTCAGGACTATTTTAAGGGGTGATCATCTTCGGATGGAAATTTCTCCTAAAAGTCATCAGTTGACCCCCCGTAAATTGAAAAGAAAATGAAAGATGATGAAATAAGCTTCAATTTGATGTGTGTCTCGAACACCTTGGAGAGTTGTGAGTATTTTCCCCAAATTTCTGAAGTGGGAGCATTAATCATTGGGGTCAATGGAAGTTTATTTACTGGTCTGGAACCTATTACGACTTCCAGCAAGAGGGACATACCATAACATAGCTAGAGGGGTGTTTCGAAAAACATGAAGTAAATTTGTTTTACAAAATCGTCGTAAATTTATAATTTTTGACCATATATTTGGCTCGGGTCATCATCAGCGTCCAGACGCCAGACCGATATGTAAACATAGTGTTTGAAACCAGACGCCAAACCGGCCTTAAACATGTTTAAAACCGGCCAATCATTTTATTCCCTGAATCCATCCTTCAGATGCCAAATTAGAACCTCCGTCCCGTGACGTCATGCCAGAATGTTGCCAACAGGCAAACAGCCACTTTAAAGTCACCATTTATAAAGCCACACATACAAGAGTGATAAAGCCAGATTTGATTTTCCCTGTTTATTTCGGATTCACGTACCCGCAATAAATGCACTTTTGTAAACAAACGAGACATGGTCTACACATCATTACGACGTGTTCTTAATCTAACCGAAGCTGATCAATTAATGAAGTGTAACATGAATGCAACAAACATCGGTTAAAAAAAATCATGCAATATTCATTTACCAAGCTCAATAATTTTACAAACCACATTATCAAATTATTTGTATATTTCTTATTTTTCAAACAGAACACACACAAAACAATTGTCAACTTTTTAAAATGTATAAATGAGCATTAACGCAAAGAGCACATTAAATTTTGACCTTTAAGGGCCCATGCAATGTAACTGTTTTAACACTCCTTGAAAATGCACCTTTTTGTCTCAATTAACCTTATTTTCAATGTTTGGTTGGCCATTTTAAATGATATGGTTTTTTATGCTAATGCCAATTACCATATTCATCAGCAAATCTGTGACGTCATTCCGGGCAGAAACCTCAATGTTACAGCTATTTCAGCACAAAAAGTTGATAGAATTTGGGATAGTTTGCCGTCGTAAAGTTTCTTAATGTACCGTATTCAACTTACCTTATAGTATGGAAATTAGCCTGAAACCTGAATCCCGAACCTGAAACAGAAAACAGTGTCTTCCTGGAATTTCATCACAACAAGAGCGCTCTCACCGGTAAAGCATGGAATATAAGTGCACTTTTCAGTATAATTAACAAATCATGATTGTCAACAGTTTTCATACATTTAAGAGGAGTAGAAAGTTGCTCAAAATGTGTTCCTCAGAAAACCTCATCGCATTGATCCCTTTAAACAATACGCAGAGACGTTGTAATATAAAATATCGGCTCACATACATTTTATGAAATAGGCTGGTCCCCGTTCACCAGTTAAAATACATGTATATTCAATAAAAGCGCAAAGAACTTAGACAGTCTTCCCACAATTAGTGCATTTCCACTCCGTCATCATGAGACAGAATATGATTCCGAGTGGGAAGAAGATGACGGCTAGGAGAAAGCCTACCTTACTAAACCGCTCCCTGAGCACTCCGCTGTGACACATCGGGCAATGGATGGAGGGTTTGGGCCGGATCTCACCGGTTAGTGAGGAATCGTAGGGCGGTGTTGGATCTTCCTGCTGTTGCTGCTGCTGCTCAAATTCTTGTTGTTGTTGTTGTTGTTGCTGCTGCTGCTGTTGCTGCGGCGTAATCAAAATTTGGCTGTCACTAACAGATGGGTATAAGTCTGCAGCTGCTGTTGCTGCTGCTGTTTTTGTTGTTGTTCCTGATGTTGTTGTTGCTTCTTGTGTTGCTTCTGCTGCGAAGTGATCAAGATTTGGCTTTCACTATCTGATGAACAAGTATGGTGCTGCTGCTCGTAACTAATACAGTTTTGGCTTCCTACACTATTTTGGTAAGTATGCAGATGCTGTTGTTGTTGCTGCTCATGTGGCTGCTGTTGTTGCTGCTGTGCGCAACTGAGTGAGTTTCGGTTTCTTCCATCTGGTTGGTAAGCCTGGAACTGCTGTTGTTGTTGTTGTTGCTGCTGTTGCTGCTGCTCGTGACTGATGAAGATTTGGCTTCCTCCATCTGGTTGGTAAGTCTGGAGCTGCTGTTGCTGCAGTTGCAACTGTTGCTGCTGCTGTTGCAGCTGTGACTTGTGTTGATGCTGCATTTGTTGGTAATGGAGAATCAATGGTTCATGGAACGAGCGAGGAAAATGGCGCAATAAAACGAATGCCTTGCCGCACAGCATGCATGTACTAAGTCTCAGAATAATTTTCTGACGACAAAAGGGGCGAAAGCCTTCACAGTATATCGTTCTTTAAAATGGAGCGGGCAGTTGGGTTGATGTGATTTTCATATATCATATTTTACAAAAGAGATTGTGTCAGAAACTGCAAGTCACATCCTCTATAGCGTAGGCATCGGCAATGTTTACTAGCGTTTATTTTCCGAATTTTGTTCCAATTAAATTCTAAACAAATCTTCACAAACACTCTTTCTGGTTCAGTCAATTTTGTAAAGTTTACTTACGAATTCCATGCAACGGCTGGTAGTGGGATGTAGCTTGTTGCCTTTCTCGGTAAGATGCGTTCCTTATATCGTGTTCAATTGACGAGAAGCGTGCAAGTGAATTATTTATGCTAGCCCGAATTGTGCAAAGTTAATATTGCACTATTCCGTGAGAAGTCTGTATATCATGCCTTCACTCTATTCTCATTTGGCCTCAGGAATAATTTTTTTCGTCTATTTCTCGTGAAATGTACCAAGGCGGACTACAAAAGACAGCGGTTTCGATCAATACTTGCATTGTGCAGCGGCTTATGTATCTGCAGTGAACTTTGGAATCTGTCTGACATTGGATTACACTCTTGCTATATGCTTTTGCATAAACGTGTACTAGGAAATTGTCCCACCTTCAACAACATATCTTGCGTGTATTGATAACACCCTGCTCTTGGGTTATATTTACTGGTCCTTTTTGTACCTTACAGCCTTAATAACTAAATGACTGACTGACTCAGTTTACTCACTCAATGACTGTCGCTTAAGAAATAGACTTGTAACAGTCTCACCTTGGCGCGCTAACTTTCACTTTGCTGGTCCCAGAGGGTCAGCAGATTATCCACTTAGTTGTACTTTCTAACGGATTGACTGTGCGTAGAGCGTCCATGACGGAACGGGAACATTTGTGATATTCAGGTTAATGAAGTCGTACGCGCGCGAGCCAGTACATCACGCACACTCGGTGTCATATCCAAGGGGCTCTCAAAAGTGGTAAAAACGAGCCCTTTAATGTGTTGGCTCACGGAGCCCATACTTCTTTCCAGATGTGGTTTTCAGCAAAACGAAAACAAATCTTATAGGGATGTGTGTGAATTGTTTTCGTTTTGCTGAAAGAAGGCACACCTTGGCTTCAACAACTCGGCTTCGCCTAGTGAACTGGAAAATTCCAGATTTTACCTTGCGCTAATATTCCTCACATTTCCCTCTAAGCCACTCAATAATTGTATACTCATATATTACACTACACCGGCACAGCTGCGTTCTAAGCCACATCGCGGAGTACGCGCGACGCGCAAGCGCCAATCTCCATATAAGGGGTTGTTTACGACAGGGACATACCATAATATAGCTAAAGGGGTGTTATGAAAAATATGAAGTAAACTTATTGAAGAAAATCGTTGGAAATTTAAACTTTTTGACTTGCTTTGACTTTTGGACCGAAAACTTTAGATTTTTTTTTTTTACAGAAAAGGTATTTATGAATGGGAATAAATATATGCTTGGCCGGTATTAGACACTATGTATAAAATCAGTTGGAGTCTGGATGCTGATAATTACCCATGCCTTCGGCTTGAGTAATTATCAGCATACAGACTCCAACCGGTCTTAAATAGAGTGTTTAAAGCCGGCCAGGCACACACTTATTCCTTTAATAACACTCCTCTTGTTTCGTTAAAGGGATTGATGAACAACAAAGATTACTGACAAAAGGTTTGGGTACTTGCATGTTTTATTGAAAAAGTAAATATAACTCCTTTAAATTCTGTGTACAAATTTATAAAATATAGAATAGGACAAATAATAACGTGTACACAAATACACTGTGTTACATAATTGGACATTTTTAGCCCTTAAGTTTAGAGGCACGTATAGGAAGATTTGCAGTTACCCGGAAGCGTACGATACAATTCAACGAAGCAAATGCTCACTCAAAGTGACGATAGGACCGGTACCAGGTACCCTGTGAAATAATTCCGCCTGATATGGCATCCTTCGAAAGAAAACAATGATTGAAGGTGGTTTGAGACAGTGCGCCTAGGGCACAGATCTTTGTTGCATGCGTTAATAGCAACGGAATCCAGATACAAGACCTCAAAAAGTCTGCTTGCGTTTTCTCTGTTTTCTCAAAATGTAAAGTATCCGATGAGCTGAAACTTCAACAAGTTAGTTGTTATGCATGACACTTTTTAATATGTCGAGCAATTTTGTTGCTTCAAAGGAAGAGAAAAAACTACACAAAAAGCAAATGATCATAATGTACCTGCAGTAAGTGCACCAGCTAAATTTTGCCACTCATTTTAGGTGATAAAGTGTTGTTATCGAATACTGAATTTCGTTCTTTTTGCTTTACTTGGCTTAATGCATTGCTATTTCAAATCCTTCCCAGAACTGGAATCTTTCCGATTACATCTTTGACACAATAGCAATAGCAATAGAAATACATCTTTGACACAATAGCATCTCATCTCATCAGTTTTCAATTAAATGTTACTATATCAAACCAAAGGGTTTGTATTTAAAGCATTTGAAAAAAATATATATAATGACGTATATTCATAAACGTAAAAGCATATTATGTTGACGCCACAAAACGTGCCGGAAAGCGGTTACATGTTCGATACCCTCGATGGATTTGTGCAGTCTTTTATGCCTTTTGTCAATAATACACAATGTATCTGAAGCACTAAGAAAATAGAGGTTATAAAAATACAACCGTAAAGTAACCGTTTTATTTCTACTAGTAAAGTAACCATTTTTTCTAGTAAAGAACCGTTTTATTTCAAATCATTGAGTTTTGTAAAACAGGTTTATGTGAAGGCAAAATGGCACCCTCTTGTTAAACTCGAGGTTGTTTTTGTATTTTGTTAAAGGCATTATAGGATCGTTTGGTCGTTTCAAATAACACCACTCAAAATACTAGAAGAATGTTGAAAACCCAAACTATAAGTTTCAACTCAGTGGATACACTTTTCAAGAAAACTTTGAAAAAAATGCACAACTTTTCTTCACAAGACACGAGTTCGTCGATAGCACTTTTTATTAAAAAAACCCAAACAAACAAAACAAACAAACAAACAGCCCAACACCCCAACAAACAAACACCCCAACAGTCACGTGACTGACCGTTGGAAATCCCGATTTCTTCTTAATGACAGCAAGCCAGACGGAATAATTTCACGGGATGTTTATGGTACGATTTTCAATCCAAGTAAGATTTTTGATGATAATTCGGTAGGTTACTTTTTGGATAAATGCATTTGATCCTATATGCCTTTATTAAAATCGCAGCTAATTCTTAAATAAAAACAAAGATATTAAACAGGGGAAGTCTTACGGCGCTCCTGCAAATCCGTTACTTTAAGTACTATAAGAATAAGTTTTGTGAAATATATCGTTTGGAAATAACAAAATGTTTTATGGAAACATAATATATGATTATCAAAACAGAAAAAAGAACCCTGCTTCTTGACATGTTGATTTTTCGATTTTTCTCGAAATAAGTAACTGTTCCATAACAAAACGTGGGCCCATTTTGTTCGTTTGATGTTTCATTCAAAAATGGATAACTTTTTGTATTGCTCGAAAAATAGCAATTTAACAATTATTTCTTTCTGTGTGGACAGTAGCGTCCTAAACTTCCAGCCTATAAAGATCTTGTACCTCGATTTTTGAACAAAGACGGTGTCGCATGAGTAATGCGCCCTCTACTAAATGTGTTGAATAGGGTTCTTGTGTGTATGTAGGCCTAATGTAGTCCTGTTGTTGAGAACCAGACGTTTTTGCGTTTGCGTGACCTTGTTGTAGTGTGAGTATCTCACGTTATCCACGGAACCAAGTCTCCTGTATAACGTCTGATATGTCAAAGCATGCAGATTTATGCGATCTCATGCCTCAGCCAATCGGAGTCGAATTTACTAAATCGTGACGTCATTTCATTCCCAAATCAGGACTAAAACTGTGATTGGTCAATTCGAATGTAGTGTTTTGTAATACAATAACAGCCCGGCGCGTGTCGCGTAACATAATACAGAGCGCGTGACCACAAACTTTGTTGCTGTGTCTAGGGTGTTTTTTCCATGTCTATAACGCGACAACGGCGAATGACCGAAGACCCGATATAGAAGGCGCCCGCTGATTGGTCAAAATCTGGAGGTCAAAATGCGGTTGTCTTGCATAATTAATAAGCAAATCTGCTCAAATGTTATAGACCATGGCTTTCGGTCTATTACATAGACTAACCTTGTTGAGGGCCCCTTCTGTCGGTCTCTGAATAATATATAAACTTGCATACTTACAACTATCTACTGCATATTTTAGGCCTGGTGGTACCGTGTATTTTGTAAACTGATATTGCGTATGTAGTACATGCTATTACAAGGTACATACTATGTAACCTTGTAATAGCAATCATTATGTTCACTTCATATACACACAAAACCATACAGATAAACCTAAGCAATAAAAACAGTTGAATACCGAAGATTATGAGATCCTGTCCACATTTATTCACACATGGAATATTTAGTAAAAGGTCATGTCGTCGTCGTTGTTTGCAGAGGTTTGCAGTTGTTGTGGTTTGCGGTTGTTGTGGTTGTTGCGCTTCGTAGTGGTTGTGGTCATTGCAGCGTTGGTGGTTGGGTGTGGTTGTGGTGGCTTGTAGTGGTTATGGTTGTCGTCGTAGTCGTTGTTGGCTTTTGGCCATCGTTGTTCTTTCTGTTGTTTTTGTCGCCGTCATTGTCAATGTCGTTGTGTTGTTGATGTTGGTGGTGGGTTTTGAGGTTTTTTGGGTTTGGTAATTAAAGTAAGGCAATAAAAATGCATGCTGTATTTGTAATAATTTTAAAGGAGTAGGCCTAGGAAATGTTATTTTGACCTAAGCTTTTATTAACCCAAATTGTCATGATAGGCACAAATATCGAGGGTTTTTTCCACTGTGTCTCCCGTTCTTGGCTACACCGGTGCACCTGTTTACGCGCCAAAGCGCGCCCCGCAGTGAGAGCAGACCTTCTCGGTACTCCAAAAGCAGAAGAACAGCCCGAGCGGGAGCAAGAGAATGGCAAGTAAGATGGCGAGTGGTGAGCACCCGCACCGCCTCCTCACGTTGCCGATGTGGCAGACGGGACAGTCACCCACGGTTACTATCTGGGAAGTGGTCTGGGCTGGCACAGTGAATTGGTCCATGGGAGGCTGCTGCATCGGCTGCGGCTGGGGCTGGGGAGCTGATGAGGAAAAGGAGAAATATATAAGAAAAGTATACAGCCTAAAGAAGGGTTCGGGTGGGCTGTATGGGGAAAGCGTCCAAAATCATGGCGATAACACTGCTTTGCAACTTTCTGTTCTACAAAAAAAAAAATCAGTGGAGAACTTGTCATACCTAATAAAATAAACAAATAGGGACCATTAGGATGAATTGGGTACGCATAGGATACGTATGCGCTTGGAAAAAGTGGCCGATTTTATCACCATTCTGCGTGATTATCACCATTCTGGGTTTCTTATACCCATTTCAGAATAACCTGAAGTGGAAACGTCTGAGTCGGTGAGGTTCTTCTGTACCGTCGAAATACTATGTGAAATATATCCGTGCAAAGTTCGTGTGGCTATGCAGGTTTCGTCACCGCGGAGTAACGTCCGTTTATACGCAGTGAACATGGATGGTCAATGCACTTATGCAGTACGCCTACGAAACCACTGAGTAAATCAATTTATATGCCTTGTTTATCGGAAGCGATTAAAGTAGTTGTCAGTTTAGAACGCTTAAAAGTTGTTTCTCTTATCATAATTCTACATGTATATGTTCCGTCTTGTATATCACGAGATAGGCCTATATACGTTCATTACATTTTCGGGCAACTTGGTTTCTGAATCAAAATCTCGCCCCCAAACTGCCCAAAAAAGTGAAGTACTCGCACTGGCACCCCGCGCGCTGATTTTAGACTGGCACGGTGTCCATGTCCATGTCCATGTCCATGTACATGTTCCTGTACATAATTATGTGCAAGTACATATCATACTGATGTGCATGCACAAATTGACTTCATACAGTTGGTTATTTTTTATTTGTTTAGATGAATACATACTGTATATTTAAGAGAAAAACTCTTTTATGTTGTGAAAACCAAACGTTCGACAATCTTGACATTATGGTGAAGATTAGCTGGCAAAAGTCTTTGCTCGTGCATTTTGGATATATAAAGGTACTGTAAATTGACCACAAAAAGTAAATAACTACATATAGATTGATGAGTGATTTGGTAATAATGAAGTAATTCACACGCCGAACCAAGTCCAACTGTTTGTCGATGTCATAGGTTATTCTTGTAGTTAAACAAGAACGTTTTAAACCAGCCAACATCTCTTTGATTATTAGAAATATCTTTTAAGAAATATCTTTTGTGATTCACACAAACGCTTATTGTGTTTAAAAACTGTTACAGGCTGTTAACACGTAAGTGCAACCATAGGTTAAAGGGAATGTACATCATTGGCTTTTGCTGTAATTTTCAGAAATGAACTATTTGAGGGGTTAGTGTAATTGATCAAATATTGTTACCCTGACATTTTTAAAGTTTTGTGTTCGAAAAGGTTGGAAAAACCAAGAAAAACAAAAAAATTTCATGTAGTCTGGTTCCCTGACTCCACAAAAGATAAAATGGATCAATTTATAGATGATGGAAAATTGTAAGGCAAGGGCACCAGTCTACCTGGCCTGCACCCGTTCATGAACATGTAACCAATAGCAAACAAAATTTGGACTGAAAAAAATTGTAGATTTGGAGCAGTAGTCTGTCATTTACCAACATCCTAGTAAGGTTTTTCGTAAAAACTTGGTAGTTTTATTTTTCGATGTTTGCAAATGTTGTATATTCCCTTTAAATACCTAAACACAATTTAAACGCCATTTAGACACTTTTTAGTTTTGTTAAACAGAACCGCTTGGACGCGTTTATAACATTGATGTTTAAGTACTAAACACTTCCTTTAAATCACCATAACATATTTTGTTTATAAACAAAATATAGGTTTTCCCGTCCAATTTCGCACTTAGTGCATGCAAGAGTATAAATAGTTCATTCAATTTTGCTATAGGGCAACCAAAAATTCAAACTAGTCATTCAAAATCGCCATAGGGCAGTCAAAAAAGAAAAACAGTCATTCAGAATCACCATACGGCAGCCAAAAATTCATAATGGGCATTCAGATTCGCCATAGAGCAATCAAAAGTGTAAAAACAACATTCAGATTCGCCATAGTGCATTCAAGTTAGCACGGAAGGACACGTGACTGAAGATAGAGCATTCAATTTCGCCATAGGGTATGCATGTTCATAACTAGTGCATTCAATTTAGCACTGTATTTACATGACTTGTATACAGTAATACATACATGTATTCAAATATTCTTTGCGCGTTTTTCCCAACCTGCAATATGTGTGCCACAAATGACCTTTCATAAAACTTCACTGGACAATTTAAATTATTTTTTACAGATGCCTGGACTTCGATAGTTGTATTTGTTATGTCTCCTAGAGGTGAAATGTAAGTTATAGAAGCATTTGCCTGCTTATTGAGCAAGTTATTTTGTTCCACACCAGCGCCTTGGCGCAAATTGTATATATATTTCTTTCATCTCCTTTGGTAATGCATTCTTTGCATTTCACCTTTAACTTTCCACATATAATTATCAGCAGCTTGAGAATTTACATTGGCAGACATTACGCAATTAACATCAATGGCTGAAAAAATGACTGAATTTTGAGCTTTGAACTTTAACATGTAAATTTTCTACCAAAGACCAGTAAAATATAACCTTCTGCAGTTGCGATATCATATTAAGTATATACATTTAGTTATAAATTATGTTTAAAAAAGAATATAAAAGGTTCAACAAAGAATTATTATAAGGGAAGAAAACCGTAATCAATGTCTTAAGTTGTGATGAAAAGATTGTTTTAAATGATTAAAGTCATATGAAAACAGATACAAGATAAAAAACACAAAAAGTAAATATGTATACATGTATATACAATATGAAAGAAGAAAATCATGATATTTTATACATGCTATGATTTATGTCTCTAGTCAATGCATATAATTGAAGAGATGGTGCAAATGACCAAAAGAAAATATACATTATGAAAGAAAATTTACAAAGATAAAAAAGGCATATGAAATAACAGAGGGAAATGTAAGGAAATTTTCCCTCTGTTAATTCATCTGCCTTTGGGCCATCCGATAAATATGATTTTTATTCGGCAACTTAATATAGACAAAGCAAGCTCATAAAGTGGAAGAAGATATAAACATGAGAAAGCTGTAAAAAACAAATAGAAAAAAAATTACATGTGCTAAATTGGATGCACAAATTGTATAATTGGATGCCCTATGGCGAAATTGAATGCTCTAACTCAGCTCGAGGGGGTTTCAAGGGCGAACTTGGTTGCCCTAAAGCGATTATGAATGCCAATTGGCCATTTTGGCTGCACTATAGCGAATTTGAATGCCGATTGGCCATTTTGGCTGCACTATAGCGAATTTGAATGCCGATTGGTGATTTTGGCTGCCCTATCCGCGAAATTGAATGACCTATTTATACTTTCTCATGCACTATGTGCGAAATTGAATGACCTATCTTTACTTTTGCATGCACTAAGTGCGAAATTGGACGGGAAAACCTATATTATGTTATGGTCATTTAAAGGAAATGTTTAGTACTTAAACATCAATGTTATTATAAACGCGTACAGGTGTTTATAAAGTGCTACAGGCTGTAAACACGTCAATGTTTATGATATAAACACATTGACGTGTTTAAAAGTACACTGTGTTTAGAAAGTAAACAGTAAATTAAACATATTGAAATGTTTATGTAAACACACATATACACGGTATAGCACTATGTTCCATTTGCTGCTCGTTCAGAAATTGGAAAGAGAGGCTCTGGTCTTGAAATTAGCATATATTTTTTTTAGAAAGACGACTGAGTAGTAAAACAAATCGAGAATTTTAAGGTTCAGCAATGGAGGTCTGATGAAGTGGATATGACAACTGAATTCTGCTGATCAAAGACTCGTATTTTTCAACCCATTCTGAGAAATAGCGCATTGAAGTAAAAATATAACGTATTGCCTCCTTTCACAAATAAAGACAATTTTGTTACCATTTTTACAAATACGAATGTATTTCTAAATTACAAAAACAGACACTGATAGCATTTTCTTGCATACGGGACACCATTTGCATAACAAAACTGTGTTTGCCCTTTGCCGATTAAGGGAACAAAAAAGTCTGTAGTAGATTATCAAAAAAAGCTAACCTCGATCTAAGTTTAAGCTCAGTAGATTAGGTCATACTTTTTGTGAAACCGTGTAAGTGCATCTCCGTTTTGCTCAACGCAAAGCGTAGATCTCTGATTAAACAGCGCGATGATTTAGTCCTAAATAGGACCAAATAAAAAAAAAGCATCGCGACAAAAAATAATGGCAATACCTCTTTTCTCGGAAACGACACCAGTCTAGGCGCAAGCATTTCACAGGATGCATGATCCTTTTATTTACTTACAATCAAGCAGAGAATTTTATGATATTTTGACGGATTCATTTTTGACTATTTGCAAATTGTGCCCATCACCTTCATAGAAGTGCCGAAATTTTACAGGGCTTGATTTTGTTAGAGATTTTTAAAGAATAATTAGTACACGCGGTGCAGTGGCCGCCAATTTATTTTCAGGATCATGCCGCAGAGAGTTCTGTTGCTGCGGAAAAAGGTCACAGGCATGTCTGCCGTGTATAACTATTCATACATGTATCGGAATGGGATATGGATAGGAGTCAACCATTGCATTGTAGGTTTCAAATATAATGACCTAAATTCATCATTACGCGAGTTGTGTGTAAAGAAAACTCGTGAATTGTAGGCCTATGAAATAAAATGCATGGTTTGGGTAAAATGTTATTAGTGCTTATTATACACACATTGATTTTCACAAGCAAGAAACAGAACTTTCAGTGACTGTTTTGTGCAGTAAAGTACAGCTATGCCCGTGACAAGAATAGCAAGTTGGGCTTGCATGTAGACCATCACCTCTTGTTACAGTTACAGTAATACTCACCATATCCCTGCTGTTGGTAGGATTGGTGAGGCGGTACCGGGTAGGCCGGCTGCTTTGTGTGGTCGTAGGCTGGTGGAGGCTCCATTTTATCCTAAAACAGTCGTGAAATGTAGGTCGAAATTTTCACAAGTACTCTGCCGGTATTTGAGGTGGACGTGTAGCGAGATCGCTCTTTTCACACTTCCGCCTTGGGCATGCAGAGCCTCGATCTGGCAACTTTACACAATAAATATAGCCGATTCACCCGTACCAGGTACCTCTTTCTCTTTCAGGGCGGTGCGTTTCTGTTTCACATAATTATGCGAGATAATTATGTCGCGGCCGCGAGTTAGTATGTCGCAGCCGCGAGTTAGTATGTCGCAGCCGCGAGTTAGTATGTCGCGGCCGCGAGATAATTATGTCGCGGCCGCGAGTTACATGTTATGAAAGCGAGACTAGCTGTCGTGAAAGAGAAACGCATTACGCACCGCCGTTAAAGAGAAAGGTACCTGGCCCTAACGGGCTTCAGTAGCACGCAGGACCAGAGACATGTACCTTCATGCACGACGAGTAGAGTAGGCTATTATAATGTCAGTGTATTCCACTTACGCCATCCATCAATACAAAGTTTTCACAAAAGTGAGGTCATGCAGTGGCGTAGCGCGGTCATTTTTATTGGGGGGGGGGTGAAATCTTTTTGAAAAGGGCACTTGCACATCCGTGGTGAAATGTAGACACGTTTTTTTTCCTTACACTTGGCCTCCGTAAAATCAAATGGTGGGGGGAGGGGAGGGGGCGTACCATCTGTCGATGGGAGCACTGTTCAAAACCGACGATAACGCACACTAACGGAGATACATGCGCGAATTTAACAAAAAAGGTACCCACAATGGCCGATGGTACCAGAAAGGCAACCACATGCTTTTAAAAGGGCACTTGTTCAGAAAAAAAGACACTTGTTAAAAAAGGGCAATCTTTACAAAATATTGGGGGGGGGGGTAAGCGTTGGTGAAAAAGGGCATTTGAATAGAAAAGGGCAGTCTTTACAAAATATGTGTGGGGGGTTAAAATACCCCCCTCGGAGCATGCGCAAATTCTCGGAGCATGCGCAAAAGCATGCAGTCCTCATTGTTTGGGCAGTCCCCCTAGCTCAGGCAGTACCGCCAGTTGCATGTGCTTGTACTATGTACAGCACATGGGATGTACATGTACATCATCCATTCTGCCCACATGCCATTTCCAAAACCAGCCTTTGTTTACACAAACATGAAGCTATAAAAACCAATCGGCGCAGTACTGGGTGCAGTTTCATCGTGATTCTCGAATAAACAGCCCACCGAGTGTTGTAAACAAGATAAGCAGAGCTCAAGGGAATGTAGTCATTTGCAGTTGTTGGAATTATCATAAAACGGTATATTCAGGGGGTAGCATGTTATGGGGGGGGGGTGATTTGGGGGTGGAAAGGAGCTGGAATTCAATTTATTTCCGTTGGGGCGCCCTACAAAAAACAAAGAACCCTGCTTCTTGACATGTTGATTTTTCTCGAAATAAGTAACTGTTCCATAACAAAACGTGGGCCGATTTTGTTCGTTTCATGTTTCATTCAAAAGTGGATAACTTTTTGTATTGCTTGAAAAATAGCCATTTAACAATTATTTCTTTCTGTGTTGACAGTAGCGTCCTAAACTTCCAGCCTATAAAGATCTTGTACCTCGATTTTTGAACAAAGACGGTGTCGCATGAGTAATGCGCCCTCTACTAAATGTGTTGAATAGGGTTCTTGTGTGTATGTAGGCCTAATGTAGTCCTGTTGTTGAGAACCAGACGTTTTTGCGTTTGCGAGACCTTGTTGTAGTCTGAGTATCTCACGTTATCCACGGAGCCAAGTCTCCTGTATAACGTCTGATATGTCAAAGCATGCAGATTTATGCGATTTCATGCCTCAGACAATCGGAGTCCACTTTACTAAATCGTGACGTAATTTCATTCCCAAATCAGGACTTAAATGTGATTGGTCAATTCGAATGCAGTGTTTTGTAATAGAGTAACAGCCCGGCGCGTGTCGCGTAACACAATACAGAGCGCGTGACCACAAACTTTGTTACTGTGTCTAGGGTGTTTTTTTCCATGTCTATAACGCAATAACGGCGAATAACCGAAGACCCGATATAGAAAGCGCCCGCTGATTGGTCAAAATCTGGAGGTCAAAATGCGGTTGTCTTGCGAAATTAATCAGCAAATCTGCTCAAATGTTACAGACCATGGCTTTCGCCATGGTCTATTAACCTTGTTGAGGGCCTTTTCTGAATGTGAAATCATCCGTATATAGGCTTCTTTTTTGTCGGTCTCTGAATATATATAAACTTGTGTACTTACCGTGTATTTTGTAAACTGATATTGCGTATGTAGTACATGATATTACAAGGTACATACTATGTACCTTGTAATAGCAATCATTATGTTCACTTCATATACACACCAAACCACACAGATAAACCTAAGCAATAAAAACAGTTGAATACCGAAGATTATGATATCCTCCTGTCCACATTTATTCACACATGGGATATTTAGTAAAAGGTCATGTCGTCGTCGTTGTTTGCATAGGTTTGCAGTTGTTGTGGTTTGCAGTGGTTGTTGTGGTTTGCGGTTATTGTGGTTGTTGTGCTTCGTAGTGGTTGTGGTCATTGCAGCGTTCGTGGGTCGTGGTGGGTGTGGTGGCTTGAAGCGGTTATGGTTGTCGTCGTAGTCGTTGTTGGCTTGTGGCCATCGTTGTTGGCTACACCGGTGCACCTGCTTACGCGCCGAATTAGTGCGCCCCGCAGTGAGAGCAGACCTTCTCGGTACTGCAAAACCAGGAGAGCAGCCCCGGCGAGCACCGGCACCGCGTCCTCATGTTGCCGATTCGGCAGACGGGACAGTCACCCAAGGTTACTATCTGGGAAGTGGTCTGGGCTGGCACAGTGTCTTGGACCATAGGAGGCTGCTGCGTCGGCTGCCGCTCGGGAGCTGATGAGGAAAAGCAGAAATATATAGGAAACGTATATAACGAAGGGTTCGGTGGGCTCTCTGGGGAAAGCGTCCAAAATCATGGCGATAATACTGCTTTGACAAGTGGAGTGACTTGTCATACCTAATAAAATTAACAAATAGGGACCATTAGAATGAATTATGGTACGCGTAGGGATACGTATACGCTTGGAAAAAGTGGCCGATTGAATCACCATTCGATGTGATTTTTCACCGGACTTAAATAAATACATTCCAATACCTCGATGTGAGATGTACATGTCCGATAGTGTGCTAGATTAAATAGCAATGTTACGCGACTTTCTTTTCCGATCCGCATACGTATCTCGTACGTGTACGATTTCTTATGGTCCCTATAAAAATGGTACGCATACGGGATGCGTATGAGGCTCAGGTTCGAAAAGCTGCTTTTTTTTAAGGGAATAGGCTATACAACATTTGCTTTTGCTGCAGTTTTCACAAATAGAAGGATTTGGGGGGTTAGCATATTATAGCAAGTATTGTTACACTGACTTGTTTGAATTTTTTTGTCGGTATGCTGAGAAAAAAAACAAGGAAAACAATCATGTTCCTTTTTTTTTGTTTCCCTGACCCACTTAATTAAACTGAGCAATTTATGCACGTCGAGAAATTGCAAGGCCAGGGAACCAGTCTAGCTTGCATGTACCCGTTCATAGATGTGTACTCCATTGCACACAAACTGCGGACTAACTATTGGTAAACTAGGGGCAGTATTCGAAATAGTCATTTAATTTTCCAGTGTTGCTGTTGTAGTCTTGCTTATTTGATGTTTGAAAATGTTGTATATTCCCTTTAAATCACCATTTTGCGTGATTATTTTATCCGACGACATGTCACGGACCATGTGCATTTCACATCAAAATGATGAGATATGTACTTGTGGATTTGGTGAAATAACATCCCAAACGGTGAATTAGCAAGCAATTTACCGAGCCGCATACGTATCCAGTACTCGCACCAATTCTAATGGTCCCTATATAACAAGGTAATCCGCGGATCGCAAGTGTCTCCTTTTTCGCGTTCGATCCCTATATGTTTTGTGTTCTTACAAAAGAAAAAGGTGTTTCTTTTTTGCAATTTATACAACGACCTCAAATGATCCTTAGATGACCTTTCAAGCTCCATGTTCGGAAGAGTTGTCATGAACCCCCATCCAATGATCACTCCATCCAAGCTACACTGAAATCTATCAAATTCTGTAGACACAGAAACATTTGAAGCATTAGGCCTGTAACAATGACCCAACATGACTTTGACCTCAGTAATCCGATGAAGAATTGTGTCTTCCAGCCCAAGGGTCACTGCTACAGTTTCATCAAAATCCGTGAAAGCACGTAGAAGTTATATACTTGCTTTCATAAACTTTCATATACGGTCATACCGAATTAAGGACTGGTAAGTGTCCCCCAAATGACCTCGTTTAGGAGACACAAAAATACATAGATCACGCGAGAAAGCGACGCTGTGGCATATTATATTAAACTATTTTTCTTTTAAAGGCCGGTAATTTTATGTGCCTAGAAATTTTTCAGTTAAAAGCGACATAAAATTGGTCACTGGAGCTCCAATTGGAATCTCTCCAACGTTTTAGAAAAAAACTTTTCATTTTCATAAAGGTTACTCTTTAATAGGCGTACGTACGAGTTAATGCGTACTATGAGTATGAGTAATAAGGCGTACGCACGCGTTATAAGGCGTGCGCATGAGTTATAAGGCGTACGTACGAATTAAGGCGTGCGCACCGGATTGATAAGGCGTACGTACGAGTTATAAGGCGAGCGCACGAGTGATAAGGCGTACGTATGAGTTATAAGGCGTGCGCACGAGTTAAAAGGCGTACGTGCGGCTCATATTTTTAAAGTCGTAAGTATGAGGCCGTGTCCGAAACGCGCTTCCAGAGCTACGGCTACGTCTATTGTCAGCGAGTCCCCGCGTATTTTCAACGGGCGCAGACCTAGACCTACAATCCCGGCCAAAATGGTTGGGACACTTGGAAATAACCTTAGCCTCCAACGGTCACCAACTCTCCCGCTCCCCCGGTCAATGTTGTTCTCTTCAGCGGATGGAGCACACACCGTGCAATGAGAGACAACATTGAGCGGGGGCTGGGGGGTTGGGGGCCAACTGTTTTAGATGCAGCCAGAGTTATAAGGCGTACTTACGAGTTACAAGTCGTAC